GCCGCGACGGGCCCTCGCCGCGCGGCGCCGCTGCCGCCCCTCGCCGTCTCCCGCTCCTCCTCCGCCGCCGGCGTCTCCTCCTCCCCGTCGGGGGGCTATTCCTCGCGGCAGGGTGGTGAACGGTGCGCTCCCTGCTCCCGCTCGCGGAAGTTGGGGCGAGCGCCGATCGCCTCTCGCTGCGTTGCGCGGCCCCCTGCTCGCCCTTGTGCCCCTCGGGCCGCCCCCCTCGATGCTGCTTGCTGAGGGATCGCACGCGCTCGCCCTCCGAAAGTTTACGTCTATGCTGCTTGTCCTTCCGCTGCTCTCCCCCCCATCCTCCTCAAGGGCGACGGGGTTTACACACACATCCACCGCCCTCTGGCAGGGCCCATCATGCATCCAGCAGCGGTGTGCACGCCCCTCCAGCTCGGCCGGTGAAGCATGTGCACTGCTCATGGGCGCAGGAGGGGCCTGGCCAGGGGCGGTGGATCTGTACAGATCCGTGAAAGGCCTTGCAGCACGCTGCAAGTTCTGTGAGAGATTCGCCGCCAGAGGGTGCTGCCACCAGCAGCCGGATGTGGAGCCCGCCCGTGCCCGTGCCTGGAGGAGGAGGAGGAGGCGGAGGAGGAGGAGGAGGAGGAGGAGGAGGAGGAGGAGGAGGAGGACGAGGAGAAGGAGAGAGGAGGAGGAGGAGGAGGAGGCGGAGGAGGACGAGGAGGAGGACGAGGAGAAGCAGAGAGGAGGAGGAGAAGGAGAGAGGAAGGGAGGAAGGGAGGGAGGGAGGGAGGAGAGGGAGAGGAGAGCACTCCACGGCTCTCCGCCGGGGAGTGCTCTTCGTCTTGGACGTCTCCATGGGGCCTTGGGCCGCCGGCGCAGGCGCTCGCTTTTCTTGACCCGCGCTCTTGCAAACAAGCGTCGACAGAGGCGGGGGAATGTGTGAGACGCGCGCCGGTGAGAGGACTCACGCCGCGAACGCCTGGGGTTCCAGTCGTGATGTCTCGCGACTCGAGGAACAAGCACGACATAAACGTACATGTTTCACAATCCGAAGATCAAGCACGACATACACATAAACTGTTGTCGCTGCGCGCAGATTCCCTGGATCCGCGTTCTGGCTCCCTGGCGGCGCCTCCGGCGCCGCCCCTGGCGCGCTCCGCGCGCCAGGGAGGGGGCTCCGCGCGCGCCAGATCCAAGAAATCCGTGCGGAGCGCCGAAGATTTAGGTTTATGCCGATCTTTGTTCATCTGGCGACGTTCGGAGGCGGAAGCGGTGCCCACACCAATACGCTTCGCCCGCTTTCCTTTTGTTGAGCCTCCTCTCCTGGGAGGCCCTCGTCGCCGCCACCGGATTCGCTCCGAAATTCTGGTCAGAGCGCACCCCTGGAGAGGTCCAGGGCGTAGCGGTAGCCGTGCTCTTTGGTTTCTCCAGTCGTCGTCGGCGTCATCTCTGTGATCGTCAGAGGTCGCCACACCCTGGAGGAGGGCAGGGTACCCGTGCTGCTGCCCTGGCCTCGTTTTCGCCTTCTCGGGGCCTCCTGTGGGAGGCCCTCGTCGCCACGGCCGGGTTCGCTTCGAAGCTCTGGTCAGAACGCACCCCAAGGGAGAGGTCCGTGGAGTAGCAGTACCTGTGCCTTCCGGACGCCCCACAGACGATTGGGGCTTCAGGAGGGAATTTCTCGAGCGTGCCAATCCGTCTTTTCGGCCGTTTTTTGTCCGGCCTTTCGGATACCGCCCAGTGTCCAGCAACAGGGGCTCGCCGAGAGCGTTCGGGGGGTGCCCGCATCGTCCCAGTCGGCCTCCGGAGAACCGAGTTATGACCCGAAAATTCAGAGCCCCTCGCGTCGTACAATCGAGCAGTGGCGAAGCGTCCTGGGTTTCGAATATCGGGTCGGGCGAAAGGGGGGGATTGGGAAAGGGGGGGTTACGAAATTTGCTGCATGCAGCTGGTTTCGGCCTCACCGAGGGGCCCATTCCTCGATACATAGCCGCCTCCGGCGCCGGGAGGCGCCGGGAAAATCAGCTACGTGAGCTGATTCTCAAACCCCCCCTTTGCTATCCCCCCCTTTCGCCCGACCCGAGAATAGGCCCTCAAACAATGTTCTATTGGCCCGGTGTGTTCTGCACGAAATGTTCCTAGATCATTTCTGGCTGAGGCTGTTTTGTTTGAGCACATCGGGCTTCTGTTACAAGAACATGTGCTGTTGTGAGTAGAACAGTTTTCGGTTCTACGAACATCTCGTGGTAGGCCTGTAGGAAGGCCGGGACGGTCGGTCCCTGCCCATTGCAAGCACAAAGAAGCAGAGCGCCGCTGCCGCTGCGGGCGCGCCTCGGAGGGAGGGCCGATCGAGGCAGCGATCACGGCCTCGGCGCTCGGTGTCGACGGCGCCCCCCCCCCCCCTCCTCCAGGAGCTCCATGGGAGGAGGGGCAGGTGTTGACACTGCTGCCCTGGCCTCGTTTTCGCTGTTTGGGCCACGACTGGATTCGCCACGGATGGGTTTCGCTACCCTTCTCTCGTCCTCCCCCTTTCTTCGGGCCTCATGCGCGGCCCTCGTCGCCACCGCTGGCTTCGCCCCAAACTTTTGGTCAGAACGCACCCTGGGAGAGGTCCAGGGAGGAACGGCATCGGTAGTGCTGGGGTTCTCCACGGACCTGCCCGCTCCTCCTCCTCCTCCTCCTCCTGATCCTCGTCCTCCTTCTCGTCCTCCTCCTCGTCCTCATCCTCCTCCTCCGCACGACGAGAGGTGGGCGCAAAAGAGAGAGCCAGCCGCCGAGGCGGCGATCTCACGGCCCCGGTCGCGGCATCGACGGCGCGCCCCTCCTCCCCCAGGGGACGTGGGAGATCCTGGCTGTCCCTCCCACTTCGGGGGCGGAAAAGAGGGGGGTGATGACTAGGAGGGGGTGGATGTCACGGCGGGAGCCATGAGATTTCCCCAGATTTCATGGCGTTTCTTCTTATTCCATTACGTCCCTGACCCCCCCGCTGGGCCGCGCACACGCCACCGGTCATGATTTGCACCCCCCCCTCTTGGACACCCCCCTCTGGGCCGCTCCCGACCACTGGGCCCTGGGTCCTCATTAAGCAGAACACAACCCCTTACCCTAATAACACCGCAGATTCTGGACGCTGCGCGTCACCCCGAGAAGTCACTCCAGAAACGATGCCCGGGCGAGCTGCCGTGATCAGGGGTGATGATGAGCACACCATGGGATAAAGGGCTGGGGAAGCCGTCATGCCCCTAAGGCGGGGATAATGGATGAGAAGTCGGAGGAGGAGGAGGAGGAGGAGGAGGAGGATAATGAAGAGGAGGGGGGGGAGGGGGGAGGAGGAGGTGGTTGTGTGTGTATGTGTGTGCGACGAGGGTTCATGGCGCTCGGTGTTCTCCCTTCTGCTCGCAGGGCCAGGCGGGTCCACCGCCTGGCCTAGCCTCCGACATGAAAAAGGTCGAGGCCCCCCCCCCGACGGGGGCCTCTTCGAAGAAGGTGTCCTCCAGACCAGCTCCTGCAGCCCAGGGCGCGCGAGCCGCATGCTCCAGAATCCTGCAGCGCTCCCGCCGGGCGCGAGCCACGCGCCTGTTGACCTCGATCCGGGAGCGTTGCTCTTCGGTCAAGGCTGGGGGGGGAGGAGTCGGGGGAGGAGGTAGGAGGGAGGAGGAGGAATATTGCGTCGGGAAGCCTCTAGGGCCCTCTTGGGGGTCTCTTGGGAGCCTCTTGGGGGACTCTTGGGCGCCTCTTGGGGCCTCCGGGGTGCCTCTTGGGGCCCTCTCCAGGAGCTTTCTGGAGCGTTGAGAGCGATTTTCGGGCAATCTTGGAGGAGATCGATCAAGAAAGATGGGAACTTTAATTACGTTCCCCCTTCGGGAACCTCAAACGTCGCCTCTTGGGCCCCTCTTGGGGCGCTCGCTCTTTGCGCGCGCTTTGGCGCTCTTGGGTCCGTCTTGGGGCTCTCTTGGGCCTCTCTTGGGGCCCTCATGGGCCTTCTGGGAGCCACCCTAAGGCCTCGCAAGGCCACCAGAAACGAAAAGGCGAGAACGCATCAACATTGATTTCCCAAAGGTTTTGGAAGGATTTGGGTACATTCGGGGCCTCCTTGGGGAGCTCTTTGTCCACCTGGGGCCGTCTTGGAGCGTTCTTAGGGCCTCTTGGAACATCTGGGGAGCAATATTTGGGCATCTTGGCTTGGCTATCTTGGGCTCACGGAGGCGGTCTTGTAGCCTTTTCGGGCCATCTTGGACGTCCGAACGCGTCGCGGAATCCTCTGTGCAGGTCCACGGGAGGGTATGGGGATGGGTGAGACCCTCCCCCAAGGGAAAGAAGGGGGCTGGAAGGGAAAATACCCTAGACCACCTACGCTCTAAAGGGCTGGTGGGATTCGTGGCTTAATTTTGGCCCACGTTACGGCATATATCTAATCGAACGGGTGGCTTCGTCTGCTTCACCTGCGACAGAGGATCGATCCCTAATGTGATTGGCCCTCCTGACTTAGGTGTTATCCCAGACATGGGTTTGGGCTACTTTGTTGCTGATCTCTGGAAGGGGGCTTTCCCCCCTTTGGCGCTCCGTACGCTACTCCAGCGCATTCAGTGGAAACGAGACGTTCTGATGGGAGCTGTTCGCGGATCCCCGCCCAGAAATGAATATACATTGGCGGTCGAGTATCAACCCGAGGGGGAGAATGAGGTGCTCGACTCGCTTCCTCAGCAGACCTTTCCCGACAGCTACTGTTCGCACTTGGAGGGCACCACGGTTGAGTTGAGGAAATTCAGAAGTTCTCCCCTAATGAAGGTACATGCGGTGAGGAATATCAGGTCTTGCAGGCTCGCAGTCGGGAGCTATTTTGAAAACGGGTTTCTCTTCGGCGTCGACTGGGCAGGCTGAGCGCCGTGATTGGCAACCCCTTCGAGTGGGAGGCCGTAGTTGCTGCTCCCCCTAGTCCCTCGCCTCGCACCAGGACGGCCTGCTGCGCGTCGGTCAGTCGACTGCGTCGGCCACCGCTACGCGCGCAATGCAGCAAGGCACGGGAG